GTGGTCGCCCAGGTCCGCGTCGCCGATGCGCACGCGGAGGTCGTCGCAGCCGGCCCAGACGACCATGCCGTCGTTGCCGAACTCGCGGCCCTTGCGCTCGAGGGAGCCGTTGCCGAAGCAGTGCCGCGCCTCGAAGTCGGCGATGATGCCCGCGCACTGCTCGACCTGCAGCGTGCCGAGCATCGACCCGATCTTCAGTTTGGTCCGCGCGCAGCGCTCGACCTCGAGCGTCGCCGTGATGACCTTCGACGGCGGCGCGAGCGTCACGGCGCAGTCCTCGAGGCCCCGGCAGAAGACCTTGGCGCAGTAGCAGTCGAGGACGAAGGCGCAGCCCTTGCAGCCCGCGAGCACGACCGCGAGCGACGCCGCGCGCTCGCCGAGCACCGCCTCGGTGATCTCCACGGTCTGGTTCGCGAGGCCGTGGAAGAGGCGCACGTTCTGCGTCTTGCCGTTGCCGACGAGCGCCGCGAGCTTCTTCTTCTCGTCGTCGGACATCTGCGACGCGCCGCCCGTGTCGAGGTGCACCTTGCCGACCTTGCAGACGTTCGTCGCCGTCCGCACGAGGTCCGGCGTCGCCGCGCCGTGCGATTTGGCCGCCTGGCGCGACCGCTCGGCCTCGATCTCCGCGAGCGACGCGAGCGCCGCCTTGGCGCGGTCGTCGCCGCCGCCCTCGGCGACGGCGAGCGCCTGGGCCACGGACGACGGCGACGACGCCGGCGCCGGCGCGGGCTGCGCCTTCGCCGCGAGCTTCTTTTGCAGGCGCTGCCGCTGCCGCTCGGCGGGCGTGAATCCCGCCATCGCGCTCAAGCCGTTCGCTGCGCCGCGGTCGTTCGGCCCGACGGCAGCCCGGGAGGATCCGCGAGCGTTCGAGGCCAGGCGCATCCACGCAAGAAACGCCGCTTACATTGAAGTACAATTGAAGTGACTGCCTGACGCACGCCTTGTTGCGACGCACTCGCGTGCTCGGCGCGCACTGTGCTCCGTCTCTCCGCGATGCTGGCGGCCGCTCTCGTGCATCTGCATGCGCTGGATCACGAGGAGCAACGGTGCTGCCTCGAATACGTCGCCCGCGTTGCAAGCGTCATTCGCTTCGCTCATGAGCTTCAAGGACTGCGATCGGCGACGACGAACGCGC